CTTTTTCTCCCCAGATTTGCTGCTGGGATCCGGGGGCGCCCCGGGGGGCTCCGGGGGGGCTGCACCCGTGGGTGCTCCCGGCGGGTCCAAATGCCCCCAAATCCCCCCAAAATCCCCATAAATCACCCCAAATCTCCTCTTTTTCTCCCCAGATTTGCTGCTGGGATCCGGGGGTGCCCCGGGGGGCTCTGGGGGTGCTGCACCCGTGGGTGCTCCCGGGGGGTCCAAATGCCCCAAAATCCCCCCAAACCCCCCTAATCCCCCTAAATGCCCCAAAATCTCCCTGAACCACTCCCAAAATGCCCCAAAATCAAAAAAAATGCCCCAAAAAACCCAGAAATTCCCCCCAAATCCCCCCCATTAACCCTTCCCATTAACCATTTCTTCCCCGTCTTTCCACCCCAAAAAAACCCAAAAAATCCCCCGAAAAATCCCCAAAAAAACCCATAAAGCCCCCAAAATCCCAAAAAACCCCCAAAATCTGCAAATCTCTCTCTCTCTGTCCCCAGATCTGCTTTTGGGATCCGGGGGTGCCCCGGGGGGCTCCGGGGGTGCTGCACCCGTGGGTGCTCCCGGGGGGTCTCTGGGCGAGGTCAGCATCCCCCTGGCACTGGGGGTTTGTCCCCTGGGTCCCCTGGCACTGCCCAAGGAGCAGCTGTACCAGCAGGCGCTGCAGGAGGCTGCCTGGCACCACATGCCGCATCCATCGGATTCAGAGAGGATCAGGTGGGAAATTTGGGAAAAATCTGGGAATTTTGGGAAAAATTTGGGAATTTTTGGGGTCATTATAGCACGTTATAGGGTGTTACATGGGGTTAGAAAGGGTTATAAATGGGTTCTAAAGGGTTACAGTTCAGTCCCTGGCACCACATGCCACATCCATCGGATTCAGAGAGGATCAGGTGGGCATTCCCAACATTTATTGGGATTTTTGGGAATTTTTTGGGAATTTTTGGGCTGTTATATGTGGTTATATACGGTTATGAAAGGGTTAAAAATGGGTTACAAAGGGTTACAGTTCAGTCCCTGGCACCACATGCCACACCCCTCGGACTCCGAGAGGATCAGGTGGGAAATTTGGGAATTTTGGGAAAAAAAACGGGAATTTTGGGGGATTTCAGAGCAGTTATAGCCCGGTATATGGGGTTAGAAATGGGTTAGAAAAGGTTAAAAATGGGATTTTTGGGGTTCCCTGGCACCACATGCCACACCCATCAGATTCCGAGAGGATCAGGTGGGGAAATCTGGGAATTTTGGGAAAAAATCGGGAATTTTTGGGGAATTTTTGGGGAATTCGGAGCGGTTTTGGGTTGGTTATAGGGTGTTATATGGGGTTGTATGGGGTTAGAAATGGGTTCTAAAGGGTTAAAAATGGGTTAGAAAGGGTTATAGTTCAGTCCCTGGCACCACATGCCGCATCCATCGGACTCCGAGAGGATCAGGTGGGAAAATTTGGGAATTTTTGAGATTTTTTGGGAATTTTTGGCAATTTTCGGGCCGTTATATGCGGTTATATACGGTTATAATTGGGTTAGAAAGGGTTCAAAATGGGATTTTTGGGGTTCCCTGGCACCACATGCCACATCCATCGGACTCTGAGAGGATCAGGTGGGCATTCCCAACATTTATTGGGATTTTTGGGAATTTTTTGGGAATTTTCGGGGTCATTATAGCCCGGTATATGGGGTTGTATGGGGTTAGAAAGGGGTTAGAAAGGGTTAGAAATGGGTTCTAAAGGATTACAGTTCAGTCCCTGGCACCACATGCCACACCCCTCGGATTCAGAGAGGATCAGGTGGGCATTCCCAAAATTTATTGGGATTTTTTGGGAATTTTTGGGGTCGTTATAGTGGGTTATATGGGGGTAAATGGGGTTATAATGGTGTTTTATGGAGCTGTAATGGGTTAAAGTTCAGTCCCTGGCACCACATGCCACATCCATCGGATTCCGAGAGGATCAGGTGGGGATTCGGGAATTTTGGGAATTTGGGGAAAAATTTGGGAATTTTTGGGGTCGTTATAGTAGGTTATAGGGTGTTACATGGGGTTATAAATTAGTTATAAATGGGTTATATGGAGTTACAAAGGGTTCTAGTTCAGTCCCTGGCACCACATGCCACATCCTTTGGATTCCGAGAGGATCAGGTGGGAAAATTTGGGAATTTTGGGAAAAATTTGGGAATTTTTGGGATTTTTCGGGGGTTTATATGGGGCTATATATGGTTATAATTGGGTTAGAAAGGGTTAAAAATGGGATTTTTGGGGTCCCTGGCACCACATGCCACACCCTTCGGACTCCGAGAGGATCAGGTGGGGATTCGGGAAAAATTCGGGAATTTTGGGAATTTTCGGGAATTTTTCGGGGGTTATATGGGGTTATATATGGTTATAAATGGGTTATAAATGGATTATATGGAGCTATAAAGGGTTACAGTTCAGTCCCTGGCACCACATGCCACACCCATCGGATTCCGAGAGGATCAGGTGGGAATTCGGGAATTTTGGAAATTTTTGGGGAATTTTTGGGGATTTCAGGCAATTATAGGGGGTTACATATGGTTTAAATGGGTTAGAAAGTGTTTAAAATGGGATTTTTTAAGGGATTGGGCAATTTTTTAATCCATTTTTTAGACTCTGGAGAGGATCAGGTGGAGATTCCCAAAATTTTGGGAATTTTCGGGATCCTGGGTGGGATTTGGAGTGGTTTGGGGTGTTTTTAACCGATTTTGGCTGATTTTACCCCAATTTTTCCCCATTTTTTTCCATTTTTACCCAATTCTGTGTGTTTTTTATCATTTTTTCCAGTTTTTAACCGATTTTGTCTGATTTTT